ACTGAGGTAGCTTTATTACGAGCTGAGAATGCTACACTTCGTACAGCAAATGATCAACTTAGTCGGCGTCGTCGTACGAAGAAGCGCCGATTACAGGAAGGAGGATCACTTACTCTCCAAGATGCGCAAGATTTAGGGGTCCTTAGTGATGTTGATTCGCAAGAACAAGTGGTTTTAGTAGAAAATAGTAATTNTTACAGGAAGGAGGATCACTTACTCTCCAAGATGCGCAAGATTTAGGGGTCCTTAGTGATGTTGATTCGCAAGAACAAGTGGTTTTAGTAGAAAATAGTAATTGTACGAGCCCGAGTCTAGTACCTCGCCGGCGCTGTGGACTATGTGGGAAACATGGCCATAACATACGAACTTGTCAAAAAGGAGAAGAAATATGTGAGGATTCCGATTCTGAATACTGTAATTAATTTAATCAATTGTGTCGTGAGATGTTTAAGAATTTATAAATGCCAAGAAAAAAAATCCATTTCGCTTGGGAATCCAACTCGCTTGTGGACTACATTATTTACTTTTAATTTAATTTAATTTAAATAATAATTAATTTTTATTAAGTTATTAATTAGTTTTTTTTTAAATATTTTATTTATTATATTATTATATGTTATTCGATTCTATTCTATTATCTTACATATATTAAGTTTTATAATATAAGGGTATAAAGTTTAAAAATTAAGAATAAATTTAAACTTATAATCTTTAAATCTTTATTTTAATATTTTATATATTTCTTTAATATTAATTAGAATATTAATTATATATAAGTTTAAATAACTAAAGTTATAACTTTATACTATATATTTAGAGTAATATAAAATCTAGAAGCTATAAGTTATTACTATTAAAGTATTGAAAAACTTTTATTAAATAATTATAGTTTAATTAAATAATATTAAAGTCTTTGATATTTAATATTAAAAAGTTAAATTAAAAAGGTTAATATTTGTTGTGCTGGATTTACATGTGTTACGCTCCACTGTTTTGGGCTACATCATGTGACTTAGCGGCCCACTATTCTCCTGTATATAATGCCTACGTGGCCACTCCCAGTTCTATAATCAATCAATCACTTTTGTGTCATTCCCAGCCCAATAATATTATATATTAGTTATAAGTTATAGTACTCTACTAAGATAAAGTACTAATTAACCTTTATTCTAAACCTTTATTAAGCTTTTAATATATAAGTAATAAGTTAGTTTTATTTTATTTAATAAGATTTTAAATATATATAAAATATTAATTAAGCTTTTAATTAGTTAAGAAGACTATACCTTAAAATATTCTCTTTTTATAGTTCTTTTTCTATAGGGGGGGTAGAAGGGCTAGGGAATATAAGCTGTCTAGAGTCTTATATACTAATTAGAGTAGGTAGATAGGCTAGTTACCTAACCCGGAGTTTTAACCCTCCTAGCTACCGCTAGTCTAGTCTGGCTAAGTCGAAAAGTTAGTGCCTCGTATTAGTAAGGTAGCAAAAACCCTACTAAAATCTATTGTCGCAACCGCAAATCGCTTCTAAATACTACTTTTAAATCTAATAATAAGTAAACAACCGGATAAAAAGGCAGGATTTCGATATAGGTACTAATATAACCTAATACAACGTACTAAACAATTTAGACACGATTTGCGCTCGATGCGGGCTGTTCTTTCGTGCCTACCAAAATTCAAGTCACCTGACCCGTTTTTTTCGGGTCCATTCCAGGAACGCTAAGAGCCAATTAACCCCTGTCTCGCTTCGTGCAAAGACAATGTATATAAGATATCCAGATGGGCGGCGTAGATTAGCGAAGAGAGTGTAGGAACTAGTTCCTGCCTCTTTGTGACACTGTGGGTGGCGGTATGGACGGACTCCCGGGCTTACTATATTCGCTGTTTATCTGCCGTCGTTGTAGTATTACACCGCAGGTGTAGTGTTGGAGAGGGTGTTGCGTGGTGTTAGAAGTGTGGCATCGCTTTATTTGGAGCAAAGTTCATGGGATTTATTAGGTGGAAATGCTGCTGGGAAGGATTGTATTAAAAGAGTCTATCCTGCTTGTGGACAGAGTTTAGATAGCACATTGGAGTTCTTGAATAAGCACGGTGCGGAGATGGTGGTGGACGGTATTCTGTTGAAAACACTTATCGTAGCTAGGAAGCTGAATTATGGTTTGCGAAAGGGATAGGCTCTCGTTCCGATAATCCAATTTGTGCTATGCCAATCTGGTAGATAGATTCTCATGGGTTACGACCATCTATCTCCCCAAGACAATAGATGGGTGCTCGATGCCGGTTCAAAAGAAGTATTTTTATACTAATGTTTTCATGTCTCCCGATGGATAAGAAAAGTGGCAGAGATTTATTTTTCAACTATTAGCGTAAGTTAATCCTAACTACTAGAGTGTTTAAAGTATCTCGAACAATTACCTCTGTTATCCTATCGCTGTAAATAAATCATTGTTATTAATCAGCAGTGGTTTAAGTTATTGTGAATGAGGGAGTGCTTACTAAGCAACTCGGTGTGATAAGGGTCCCAATACACTGACGCCCCGGCGTCAGTTTAGAGCTGACTAAGCGCGGGTTTTCACGCCCCCCCACCATCCACGAACACTCTACTTATACCTATAATTAATACATGCTTAACAAAATAACATATAATAAATCCTACAATATATATCGCACCGAGTCTCGCGCATACTCCTCCTCAAGTCTAGCCCATATATCCCTACTCCTATTCTCAGTATTCCTATTCCTATTCCTAATAAACTCTGATTCAAGCATATTATACTCATCTTGCTCCTTCTTTTCCTCGTTATCTAGCCATGCTATAATCTCCTCATTTGTCCAGTCAGCTTTATTTGTAATAATAGTACCTGTAAGATCACGCCGCTCCCTAGGCATATAAAATACCTGCTCTTTTAAAATTTTCGGCCTTGGTGTTTTCCATTTTCGGGCCTTACGATATTCTGCTGGCCGTATAGTAGGATGCTGGGCTAGCCAGGCTGTTTTTTCAGCTAGGTAGGCCAGAATTAAGACTTCTGGCCGATCTGGTGAAAGCTGCTTAGGTACAGTTGGTGCTAGAGATGCTAAAGGTGCTGATGCTAGAGGTGCTGAAGGTGCTGTAGGTGATGTGGATAATGTGGGTGATGTGGGCACTGTATCTAATTCAAGGAGAATCTGGCTTTGAGCAGCAATTGATGCTTGTAGTTTCAACGGGCAGCTACGGCTACTCATTGTGTGGCCTTGCCTGTGGCATGCAGAGCATTTAGGTAATTGCTTTGCTTTTTTCTCCCCTTTTGAGAGAATGCGGCCTGTGTGAGCAACCTCTGCGTTTGCTATACGCTGTCTACCAGCCCATAGAGGGTTAAGTAGTGGCTGTATAGTGCTTTTACGGTCCCAGTACCAGTGCTCATGAAAGTCTGATGGAGTAAGCCCAGTAGTGTCCTTCTTTATCTCGCATATATGTGCACAAGGCAAGCCCATTGCCCGGGTAAAAGCACCAGTACAGGGCAGTAGTGGCCGAGAAACAGTCTCTTGATGTCGTTGTACAAGTCGTAGTGCATACCAAGTGACTACCCCAAAACAGCCTTGATATAGCGTGAGAGGCCAGACCTTGAACAACTCAAAGGTGAGGTTTCGAATGTTCAATTAAGAAGTGCGTGAAGACTACATACATGCAATCTCTTCCTCTATATATATAGAGAGGAAGAGTTTCTGGAGTCTTCCAAGAAACTGTTTGACAAATACGTAACGTCAAAAGAATAGAGTAGAAAAGTGTAGAAAAGGAGAAACCAATTTAGCAGTGGAGCAATGGCCAATGCTGAGCGGGGACTTTGGTCAGTGCTTAGCGAGGGCATGGCCCGAGCCTCCATCATGGGTTCCAACCTTCACATATAGCTTCTTGTCTATATCAAGTGGTGCGCGTTCCTGTAACATACTTATACGAGTTGATACAGCTGTAATTTGGTTGATTACAGCTGCTTCAATAAGTAGCCATGATGAAGAGAGGTCCCCCTTGGTTTTTTTGCCCCCTAGGTAGCGCTTAATATATGCATGAGCTCCTTCAGCACGGGAGGTTACTCGTATACCGAAGT